CATCCCTCCACATTTGAGTGACATAACATTATCTTCCTGAGTTAAGATCTCTAGTCCTGTCATTTCTTCCTTATACTGTGCATGATGTAGAAACATGTGAGATTCTGAGTGCCACCATCCTCTTTTTGGTTTCAAATACATACAATTGCTAGGGTAGTTCATAGTTTACTCAAGGTCAAATAGATAACAGTCAAAGCATACAAAAAAGAGTCTCTGATAGACACTTGTCTCAGTTAGTTTGCTTTTAACAGGAACACACAGAAAATAGTTCAAAATCAGTCCAAAGTTCTAAAAAGCAGGTCAGGTTTGTTAGCCAGCCTAATGGTCAGAATTTCATGTGCAGACTTCATGCGAATGTCACCCAAGAGTCAGAAATCAAATATTTATTTCCAGCAAAGGAACAGGGGTCAGGGCTGCAGTCAGCTGTCGCTAATCAAAGCAAGGAGCCCCATGGAACATCTTTACTCTGCTTTCCTCACTACTTGCTTAGTGTGAAGCCTAGGAGGCCTTATATCATCCTCCTCTGACTGCTCCAGTTGTCCAGGTGATGCCTGTGTTCGATCAGCCTCATGCGATTCTTGACTCTGTGTTTCCTAAGACTGACATGTCATAGGTTCAGCTGGAGCATCTTCCTTAAACTCAGAGTCTAGGATCTGGGCCTTGAAACTAATGTAATAATATCTCTATTATAGTCTTGTGAAAGCCTGTTCTCATCCTAGCTTCCTGCTCCTCCCTGGGCATTTTCTTGGTCTCAGTTTTTGTCTGCATATTCAATTCTGGGCTTTTGATTTAGTTACTCTATCCTGATAAGATTGCTGAAGCATCTACTAGACAATGATGGCAGTATAATTATTGGTCTGGATGGATTTTTTTCAACTTGAAAAGATATTCCTGGAACTCAGGTATAGAGTGGGAGGGTGGAATCCTAAGGAAAGAATCCGGCAGGTTAGCATTTGTGTATAATATTTCCTTACTACATGAAATAGCTGATGGTGATGATGGGAATCATTTCCATATTTGCTAAATAACAGACCTACATCTTCTGATATATCAATTTTATAAACTTCAATTTAATCAAAACTTGGGGACTATCAAACTGATTGATTATATGTCCTTCTTTCCTTCTTGTACTTAAGTGGTGTTTAAATTTAGTGCCTCAGAAAACTCCTAGTTTTTTTTTAATGTCTATAATTATGCCTCCCATATTTTGGATCTATCAGCCTCCTGACCTTTTTCAAGTTTGTTAATATAGGATGCTGCTCTTTGAAGGGTTAATGTTTTGGTTTTGGCTCTTCTAAAATTAAAGATGCATACCTAACTAAGCAGAGGCCATTGCCACTGCAATTACACATTTCAAGAGAGCACTTGAACTTCATCAATTGTTCTTAGTTACTCAGGGTTAAATCCAAGACATATGCTCCTCTTGTTCAGTTCTGCATGTTCTGAAAGATGCAACTGGCAGCAAAGCAAACCATTTTTAACAGAGTTAGCCTTCCAGCAGATGTTAGGGTAATTGTAATCACTCATAATTACTGCAGCAGAAATTCAGAGGCACTAAACTCTTGTCCTTATCCTCATTCGAGAAGCCAACTCTTGTTCTTGAAATGTTGGCTCACTCAACTGTGCTTGGCCTTCAGTTGACTGGAAAACTGAAGAATCAACATTTCTTGGTCTTGAAATTCTTGGTTTTGAAATTATTTCACTCAGCCCTTACTTTTTCTAACAGAGGCAAGTGCCAGGCAAACCACCACATAAAAGGTTTAACAGCCAGATTTCAGGACGGATATCTACCGAGTCTTAGCAAGGCCGGGGGAGAATTCTTGGACCTGCAGGCCAAGGTTTTCCATCACTGCAGACATACAACAAAATAAACTCAATATGAAATTGTGCCTTTCTAATAATCTTGTAGACACAAAACATAATTGGCATAAACTTGATATTGTGCATGAAATTAAATTCTTGAAAGATCAACTCACTAATTTCCAGTTACTCTGCCAATAACAGCAAATCTCCTGTTCTCTACCTTCTCTTTCCAGGAAAATGCTTATTTTGCTATTCTCACCTTGAATTTTTTTTATATTGGGAAACCTAGGTTATAAGGCTAGCTGCTATCTTAAGAACATTAGCTTTTGAGGGTATATTCTTAGTTTTGTTCAGACAAGGCATAGTATAAGAAGCGCATGAGAAAATATCTTTCTGAAAATGCAGTTTAGTCATGTTGTACTTTAATTTATTGGCTCAATCTGAAATCAAAGAAATTAGTTCTGCCCTGCCATTTACTCTATAAGAGTATATGATTGTGTGCTCCTAATATTCATGAAAGAAGGATCAGATGCTTCTTGCTGAGGAAAGAAGCATCTGAAGTATACTTTCCAGCTGATTTTTAAAAATAGGAATAAATATATCTTTTCTCATAGACTCAGCATTTTATTTGATATTTATTTTAAAAAAATAAAATATTGGACAAAGAATGAGATTTCATAGAAATTGTTTGGAAGGTGAAAACACAAAGGAATACAGGCTGTGCTCAGTACAAGTTTATGTTTTCCTTTATGCCTATCAAATTTCTTATTGAATGATTGTCTAGTTATAGCTATAGAAAGAACCATGTTCTGAACTGTACATCTATTTAAATTAGATATATTTATCTAATTCAAATGTACCTCTTGCCTCTCAACATCTTCTATGTTCTCCCCTCTTCCCAGTGCAACCCCACTTTCCAGCATCTATTTCTGATTGCTGTTGCCCTTTCAACTGATCTACCCCATACCTTCAATTGTGTTTTGTTCAATCTAGTCCAGAATAACAAATATAGATGCAACTTTAAAAAAATGCCAACCAGCTCAATAAATAGTATATACTTAATTGAAACCAGATATCCTGCAGAGTTGAAGGCTGTTTTGTATACACACCATTTATTAAAAATGTGTGGAACTACAAGCAGACATTTCAATATGAGGGGTGCATTACTGCATGGTTTATAAAATGACACTAAAGTAGCAGTGTGGCAACAAAGGGATGTTTATGACATGGGATAAGTTACAGAATTAGTCACCTGTTAAAGGACGAATCTAAAGAAGGGGTGGGACAGGAGAAGCCTAAGCAGACTAAGGAGATAAAAATGACAAAACAACCAAGAGAAACATTAGCACTACTCTCTTATCACAAGGAAACAGCACTAGATACTGTCCTCTGCAATTATCCCGCCTAGAGATTTAATTGCCTCAATTGAGGTTTAATTCCTCCCATATGAGCAGTTGGAAAAAGAATTTCCAACCTTTAATTTCTAAAAACTATACTAACCCTAATACGAAATATAGTCCTGGAAGAAGACAGAAATGTGGATTTCTGAAATATATAATATTCACATTTATTGCTTTAAGTACACCCTTTCCTACCAAATTCAATGAGCGCAAAAAGGGTATGATGTGGTCCTCTTAAATTGGTCTCATAAAATCTACAAGCATATTTTGCTTAAGGAGTAGATTGTTCAAATTGGCTGGCTTGGAAAGAAGGAAAATGGATTGAGTGAGGTCTGAGTGGTAGAAGAATGAGTCGTTTAGAGAATGGCTAATACTTAAAAAAATTAAATACATGCAAAATGCTATCAGCAACTGAAACAACAACTGGTTTGCTTGGCATAGGTTATGTTTATAATGGGGTCAGATATATTTAAAAGAAACCAAGGAAGAAGATTAATCTGAGAAAGTATTGGCAGATCTAATTGGACTGATGGGAAAATGTAGTAGAAAGGTAAGTAACAACACAGGGTGAATTATCACAAAGAGATAAACTATAGAAAGCTGCAGCAATCAAAGAGATAGCCCTCACATCTAAAAATTACAGTGGCCTCCCTATTCATCAACACCTTTCTATGAATGCCCCTGCTCTCCTCCCAGAACAAAAGCACTCAGATTTATTTGGTGAAATTAAATCTTTACAGGAGGGACTTGCCTTGGGTTGCCATTCTTCACTTACCAGAATTAAAAGACATTCATTTCCTGCTGCTATCATAAATACAAAACTTCCAAAACTTTGAATTTGATAACCTGCCCTACTCACAAATACAAAGAGGCATCCAAATATGCTTTAAAATTTCTGTCAACTTTGATTTGTATTGTTGTCATCTTTGAAAATGATCTATGCTTTGCCCCTGCCCAAGAGCTGGGCTCTCCATTCTTTGTATTATGAAACAAGATGTAAAATGATATGGCCAGACCTATTGTAGCGTTGAGCCACTTTTTATGTACAGAGAACTTTTGGAGGGCTCATCAACCAAATTCTGTGAACAATGAATATCTAAGAAGCAGACCAATGAAGCAGGAAAATTCTGCAGTGATTCGCTAATAGTTTTATAATCCTTCAGTGCCCTCCATAACAGTGATACAAAAGAGAAGGATCCACTAAGTCAGGGGATAAAAGAGAAAGAAAAAAAAAACCCCAAACACCTGCAGTAACATAAAGAAAGTGAAACTTATAAGTCAAACGAATTACATGATTATTTCCCATGGCAGAGGTGGCACATATAGTAAAAGTAAATTGATCCAATTGCAAGAATGTATAGTTAGGTTTGGGCAGTAATGTATGCTTTACCCCACAGAGTCCTGTGGTTATGCACAGCTTTGGAGAGCATGGAGGTGCCCCCAAAGGAATTGCAAATAACTCTTTAAAGCATAGGTGTCTTCTCCCAGGACCACATAGCATTTACCCTGCAATTGTAACATGATCCTGGGAAAAGCCACATTTGGTCTGAATTTTAGACAGTAAGTGTTACATTCTATTTGCTATCCCCAATACGACACTTCTGAATGTCTTGGGGCTAAGACTCCAGGATATTATTGGTCACCTGGAAATGAATTCTGGGTGTTAGTTTTTCAAGACTTTTGGAAGATACTAATGTAGCGAAGGCTACACTATATTAACATTTTAACAATTTCATATGGATGACATTACATCATTAATTTATTTCATGTTACGTTTATTTATTCTTCAATGGAAGAAACAGGCTACATTTCTAAAATAACTGTAAAAACAGTCAAGACTATCTGATTAAGAAAATGCGACCGATCCTTCAAATTGTTGTCAAATAGCATTTATTTTAGATGTCATTACGCTTTGGAGTTTCTGATTGTTGAAAGGAAGGAAGGAGACCCTGTTCCTGAAGTTGTTTTCGGATATTCTTCATAGAAATGATGACAGCAGTTGACCAATTGCTATGGAACCCTTCTTTCAATTCAAAACTTCCACAACTCGATTATACTAATGATGTCTGGATAAAAATCTTCCACAAGACTGCATGGTACAGTAATCATAGGCATCACTTTTGGCCTTAAAAGAGTTAGTTGTTAAAATTTCTTACAAAACTGGTTGGAGACGTCATGTTTAAACAAATTGCCCAGCTCTGGAATAGGCTTGACCAAACTTTCCAAAAAGAGGAATTGACGGTAACACGGTTAAGAAATCCTAGAGGGGGGGAAAAGACAGAAAATGTGTGAAAATTTAAATCTGCCTCCACCTTGAACTGAATATTTTTTCCCTTGTGCTTCTATGTGTACAAAAACATCACGACAAACTCAGCTTAACCGTGGACATTCTGTTAGAACGTTTTTCACATAAATAACTCCTTTTATATTCATAGATCTGCAAACAATAATTGATGCCTAATAACTGAGAGGTATAATTTCTGTGCAGTAAAAAAAAAAAACCATTCTTACTGTTGTCCAAACATTTTATAATAACAATAAAAAGTAATCTGGCAAGACAGGTATGTCTATGACAGGATGGAACAATTTTTCTCTAATTATGTACAAGAAAAAATGGAAGATACTATCTTTATTTTGCACATTAGCAGACTTTTCACCCCGGGGCTGCAAATAAGCTTAGTATTGGGCAGGAGAGCCTCTGGGAATGTTATTCATTCAGGCTTATTCTTCATGCTAGAGAAGATGGTTTCTAGTGTGAGAGAGGAAAACCCAAAGGTAATTATCACTGGGACTTCAATGACTCTGTCTAACTTTGAAAGATCCAATTTGATATTATCACCACTATGCTGAAGAGCCCATTTAAAGATATTTCCTTAGCATAATGATGCAAACATTGTGGAAAATCCAAAATAATGAATTTTGAAACAAATAAGAGAGGTAGAACATGTTTCTAATTCTTCCCTTCTTCCCTGTCTCTGATTGGATTAACTGTAAAACATTATAAAAATATTTACAATATTTTATTCATTACAGTCCTATTAACTTACTTCTAAGTGAAAAGATGAAAGAAAAAGAATTGAGTAAAGTGACTGCTAGAGGCTACCGAAGCTGATAAAGGTCTCATTCCCTGATTCTTCAAAAAATATTTCTGATGAATTTCTAGGTAGCATGAGAACAAGAAGCTTCTTTGAAAATACAAACATTATAATAAAAATGTGTTTTGCCAGATTCCAGGGTATATAATAGACCCCTCTCCCCAAGCCCCCCCCCCCCCCCCCGCAACTTATATTCAAACAAAGCTAAAACTGGGGACTGGTTTGTATTTGGATAATTAGGTTTTATTGGGGTAAACAAGGGGGGAGGGAAACATCAAATCACAATAAACTTGTTGGAAGTCACAATCAGAATGTAATAAAAAACCAGCTGTCATTATTTTATTCTCAGTAAATCTCTGCTTCCATCTCTCATCAGGTTAAAGCTCGAACAGCCATTTGTGACCCCAGAAATAAGCTCTGATTTGAGAGAGCAGACGGCTTTGGTTATTAGGATGACTTGCCAGACAATAACAACAACTGACTGCCAGAATTAGCTCCTTGGGACAATTTAGGTTCCTTTGAAGTGAATGGCTTTTTGAGCTGGAACTGAGCCCACGTCCAGCTCCAAATCCAAGTCAAAATGACAAAGAGGAAGTCTACTGTGTCATTTCAGTCCCTTAGCATAAGATTACTTTATGTTGGCAGCTGTACTGCTTATCTTGTTGTTTAAAAGCTATTTCACTACATGGTCACAGCTGAATATTTAAACTAGTGGATCTGGTCATGGATTGTCTCTGACTGTAGCAAGACAAGTCCCCACCAGTTCTTAGAACAAATTATAGTTCACATGGCTGTGTGATATTATGCTAATGAAAGAGTATATTAAAATGTGATTCCCTTCCTATTTTTCCTCATTATTCAGAAAATATAATAAATGCCCAAATTATTAACCAGATTTTGCGGGCTAGTTTATCCAAACAAGCTTGATGTATTCTCTAGTCACACATTCAAATGAATTGTCTTTGATAAGACTCTTTGATATTACACAGGAACAATTTGGAAATGGCTTATTCCTATATAAGAAATGTATATTTTAAAAAATCCGACTGTCATAAAACAGTTACAGAACTATTTCTTTACTGGATCATTTTAAAAACAGCAATAGTCCCTTTTTTGAGGAAATGGGCTCAATACACAGGCTTTTTGTTAACCTTAGTGTGTTTGATTTATTTATTTATTATTCCTCTCTGTATTAAAAAGAAAGTCACAAGTCATTCTTTTTCTATTTTTATTTTCTCCTTGCATCTCTATCTACTTTCTTTCTTGATCATTTTTCTTTTCCAGTTGTTTTTTTCTTGTCTGTATTTTATGTTTTTGAAAATCAAATTATATATTAAAAAGAGCTATATTAGGCAGGTAATGAAGTAAAGAGGTAGGGCTATATTACACATTTCTGGCAAGGAATTTATTGTTTTTCCACTTTTTGCCGGAAGGGCTGCTTGTTGATTAATCAAATGTTGGATTTCTGTAGTGATATTGAAGAGAATTCAGAGTTTGTTACTTTACTTAACAATATCTTTTTTGCATAAAATTACTCAGTAACTACAAGTATTATCTAAAAAAGGAAAAATAAAACTTTGTAACCTATAATTCATTTAGATAAAAGTATTATTCTGCAAACCTTCCTTTATTTATGTCTTTACAAACACAATAATTATTGAAATACATATTAAGTTTGGGGGGGGGGGGCAAGGTAAATACTATATGTGTGTGTGTGTGTGTGTGTGTGTGTGTGTGTGTATAAATTATATATCCATTTTAATAGAATTGCTATGGATTGCATGTTCCAAAATATTATACCCAACATCTGATAATCCAAACCTGAATGCTAAAATCCCCATTAATTTTGTAAGAAAGCATATTCATGTTCTGATCCTATTATCTTTCAAGAGAATATAGTCTAATGTAGTCATACTGACTAGACCAATAGACCTAGTGACCTTTTTAATGAATGGACAATTGGCTGTCATATGGATTAATCGTCTTATGTACATAATTCAAAGGCAACAAATGACATTAGCCAAGATCAGTGTATTGAGGAGTATTTCTCCAATTCAGCTAAAGCAATCCAATCTCCCAGCCTACGAATATAGTCAGTGAACCCAGAAGCAGCTTCATGCTTCCCAATCTAGATTATCCCTAGATAGGGCAAATGTGTCTCAGGGAACATAAGCAGTTTCTCAATCTCATTAATACAGTCCCACTCCTCAAAGTTTAACAGTTTTAAAAACAGTACATATGGGGAAATAATCTATAAAAAGAGTAAAACAAAAACGCTAAGGGCCAAGAAATCCATCAGTGTCCACTGGACAGTGATGTAGCTACAACACTGGTTAGTAAAAATCTTGGGTTACTAATATCTCCATTCTTCTCTCTGTCAAACAGATGGCTACATGAACAAGCTGACCAACATATGGAAATATTCAGGAGAACCTAAATTGAGGAATGTTTAGATAAGAGGCAGAAAATCACTGAACTTTCAACAGTATATTATAGCGTGGCATCTTCTATTATGTTGAGATGGAAAAGATTATAACTATATTGGATGTGTCACTGAGGGAAAGTTTCTCAGGCATATGTTTAAACTAGAGACCAGGATACAATTACACTGAAGCACAGTGTATTTGGATTATTGACAGAATTTATATTGGAAATAGAGAAGCCTAAAGATGGGTTCTTATGCAAATTATCCTTTCATTTTATAACTTTACAATAAAAACCAAAGGTAGTCATTAGTCTGTAGAACATAGCAAGTTAATGTGATTGATAAAGTTAGCCTTATTAATTCGGTTAATTCATATATGTATATGTATATGTATATGTATATGTATATGTATATGTATATGTATATGTATGATATTCAGCTTTGTTCGGGTATTTTCCCACGTCATTATAGTTGTGCTTTTAAAGTTGTAGCAACATTTCGGCAGAATCTCATCTGCCATCATCAGGCTTCTGTATTGTGTTTGTCTGTGAGTCAGACTTTTACAGTTGTTTCAGTTTTAAATTTGGGGCTAGCCTACTGCTGTGCCAGAATGGTTTTTTCTTCATCCTGATTGGTTGGGAGTCTTGATCTGTGTTTATTGGTCTTGGAGTTTTCTGTGTTCTGCTTGATTGGTGTTTCTAATATCTTCTGTCTGTTTTGTCCTGTTTTTTTTGTCTTGGTTGGCTGGCAACATTGTGTTCCTGTATTGGAGACTTTTAGTGCAGCTTGGCTCTGAGTAAATGGACGGCTATCATTTGTTAGGAAGCTAGGTTTCATCTGGGTGCCTGGTTGGGGTGTGTTTGAGCTGGAGGAGGGGAAATCTGTTTGTGCCCAGGTGTTTGCCCGGCTTGTGGTGTGGAGGTTTTGTTTGTTTGTGAGTGCAGGCTTCCAAATAATTGACAGTCTGGTGGAATCATCTCTTCTATTCATGCTTTCAGGTCTTTTTTCAATCTCTATGGCTTCTCTGATAATTCTGTGGCTGGGGTTTTCTATAGTGGCTAGGGTTTTGGCAAGCTTCTCTTTAAACCAAGCTTCTCATGGTTTACTTTTACCTTTACCTTATTACCAATGTTTTGCACATTTTACCTTATTACCAATTTGCACATGTTTGCTTATAAGAAGTTTAGTCCTATAATTGGGAGTGTGGTATATAATCTTTTGAATGAATTCAGAATGTGACTGCTGTTTATTTTTAAAAGACTAAAGAAAAAGAAAGACAGAAAATAGCTTGTACTGAGGAGTTGCTTCTAGCAATAGTTATCTAACTAGTTATTTTTAATTATTTCATAAATAATAAAGGTTGCAATCCTATATTTGTAAAAAATATTCCAAATGAAGGTCTGCAAAGTAATAACAGCTTTTCAAAGTTGTATATACTAGATAGATTTTGTTCTGATAGGGAAGCCCTGTTTATAAGAAAGAAGCTTTGCTTTGTTTCTTGCTATCCAGCAAAATAGCATTCAGTTAAGGGGTAAGGCATCTTAGTCCAAATGACCAAAATCACTTGTTTCAAAATTATCTTTTGGAAGAAAAAAAATTGTCTTCTCACTTTGTTTCACAAACAGAATCAACAATCCTAAAGTTATCCACTTAAGATTTATAAATGAATTTTGCAATTTTCACTCTCACACCTACAACTAAATTAGGGTCCGTGTACTATCTGAAATGATTATTTCATTG